TAAATCCTTTTTTCATTTAAACAAAATGTATCAACTTATTATATCATAGTATAGTATAGTATAGTTCATTATATAATGATACTTTATACTAAATAATAAAATATGCTAAATAGGAATCAAAATAAGATAAAAAAAAAAACAAATTACTTTTTTTTTAAACAAAAACAAAATGTATCAATTGACTAATACAGCGATACACATATTAAATATATAACAAGTTCTTATACTTGATGTAAAGGGTAATTAATAATTATTAAATTTTAAATTTTAATGTTTCATAGTTGAAACTTGAAAAAATAAATCATCATCATCATCCAAATTATACTCATCATCAGTTTCATGATATATTTCAATATCATCTTCAGCTCCTTGAGATATTTCAATATCATCGTTTGTAGATATAGCAGTATTTGTTGTGATGATTTCATTTTGACTCGTTAATGTGGACAATGGTGCATCAGTATCACAGTCTGATGTAGATTTAGTGCTATTTTTCGATGTGCCTTTTAAAATCTAAATATTAAAAATTTAAAAATAATTGTGAATTTGTACATACGAAAACAATTATACAATATTTTATTTACCTATAAAATAATAAATTAATGATTACCTGCAAATTATGTTTAATGAACACCAGTTTAGCGGCTCTTTCATTTAAAAGTCTATTTCTTTTTGAACTGTGAATATCTTTATATGTACTAAAAGTACGTTCTACAGCAGCTGAAGTTGCAGGCAAAGATAATATTTTTATGGCTATTTTACCAAGTTCTGTATGATTACAAAATGCTCTCCACCAATGTAATGCCTCTGTCTCTTCTGCAGCAACCCAAAGATATTCATTGGTTTTTGAAAATGGTCCGGATTTGTTTTTGAAGTTTGCAAAATCAGAAATTACCTTTCTTGCATTAATTTCTATATTATCCATGTGTTTAGATAACTGATAAATAAATTCTATTGCTTCATTGTGGTCATTTGAATCAAACAATTTACCAAAGTATTTTGGGTCAAGTAAGTTTGCAGCTTTATGGATTTTAGATTGACAAAATTCTTTTCTTTGATCAAGAGCTTCCATAATATTATGTTTTTCTTCATATCTTAAAATGTTATTATTTTTAAATGTCTCTTCAAATGATTTTTTTAATTCCATAAATATTATAGGTACAATACTTAGTTGGGGTGTATCACTTTCAATTTTTGTAATCCATTTTGCTACTGGATTCATTAGACTATAGAAAAATTCAACTTTTTTCCAGAAATTTGAGCTGCTTATAGTTTTTTTTACATTTGGCTTCAGGTCTTTTTCAACAATTTCATCAACATTCATTGAGCGGATAATTTGTTTATTAACTAACAGTGATTTAAAAAACACTACTACGGATCCCCATCTAGTAACAACTGGTAACGAAAGTGCCATAGAAGTGGAACTATTTGCATTTCTCTTATCCAGAAATGCTGCACTAGTTATGTGTCCCCTTTTTATATTATTGACTATATCTTTTCCATCATTAATAATATCTGTTAATGAATTCATTTTAATTATATCATTTATCAGTAAATTTAGGCCATGTGCAACACATCCATATGAAGTTATGTGAGGGTACTTTTCAGTTATAAGAGTCCAAGCCTTTTTCATGTTCTTTGCATTGTCTGTAACCACACCAAATACTTTACGTGGACCAATATCTTCAATTACAGAAATAATCTGTTCTGCTATATGTTCCCCTGTATGGCGATCAACTCCAGTAGGTAGTGATTTATAAAATATTGGTTTAGGAGTTGTAACTACAAAATTTATAATACTTTCATTCCGAATGTTAGTCCAGCCATCACACATAACACCAAGTGCATCCGAATCAGCAATACAAATTGTGGTATGCTCTTTAACTTTGGAGAATTCATCGTCTAGAAGTTTATTTGAAACCAAATGTCTAGTAGGCGGTTTATATGCTGGCCGAAGTGCTTTGAAAAATTCTATCCAATAAGAGTTATCCACTAAACTTAATGGAGCTGCTGTAGCATAAACTGCACGGGCCAAAAGAACATCAATATTTTTCTTTTCATTGGCATTCATTTTATCACAATATTTAAGAATAGAACTCTTTTTACTGAAATTTTCACAAGATACATTTGTAAATGTACTAGATACAGTACTTCGGTTAAAACTAAACGATGTAGTTGGTGTCGAACTATACATGATGCCATCATGTTCTTTTTGATTGATAGTACTTGGTGTAGATAATAACGAGGAATTTATTGTGGGTTCTTGGTCTACTTCTAAATGATCATCAATATCATTATCATTTATATTTTCTTCAATACAATGATTGCCTAAAATTAAAATATAATTAAATATTATATTTCACAAATTCACATATTTTATTGTATAATAAATAGGTGGTAGGTAGTAATTTTAACTTTAAAAAACAAATATGGAATAACACTAGTATAACAATAGAACATAATACAAAATGTAGAGTACCTATTAATTATTTTAATATTTATATATTAAAAAGAAAAAAAATTATAAAAGATATTACAAATGCATATATATATATATATATATATAAATGGACCATAACTAATAATTAAGAAATTATTTATTTATCCTATTTTAAACTTCACTTTGGTCCAATCATAATGTTTATTTAATAACTACCTAAATGAATAATTTTTAAATAAGTAGTACTTATGAAAGTACTTTTCTAATTTAAACTTCTAGTGGAAAATTCTAATTCTATAGCATGGTCATGTTGTAATGTAAAAGTTCTTACAAAATACCTAGTTAAAATATAAATGCTTTCATAAACAAATGATGGTTGGCGAAGGGGTCTTAATTATATTTAATTAAAAAGGAATTTTATTTATAAATCTCTAAAAGTGTCATAATTTAACATGAATTAACTTTAAGTGATGTTTAATCAAATCTTAAAACTGAGTACCTAGTTATAACCTAAGTGTATAACTATTTTGAAAGTTATGAGTTAATGATGGGGGTTTGTGAATTATATATATTATTATATTTATAAATTTACAATAAATTCACTTACTTATAGAAGACTCTTCAATACATTTTTTATGGTGTCGAAAATTCCTCTTCACTTCAGCAGGACAGCTAATGCAACTTGAAATATGTTTTAGTTGTCTTGTTGCGTTTGGGAACGTCGACCACGAACAAAAGTTGCATATTTTTTTTTTAAATGATTTATTTCCTTCTTTTAGTTGTTCATCACGAAAACATTTGTGAATACCATGTTTTTTTTTCCCCATATTATTTAATAAGTAATAATATATTATGCTGCAATATTAGAATTTATTTATAGTTTATGGCCATATACTATTTAGGTAATATGCTAATTGCTAATAAGTAATAATTGTAATTTATAACTTACATTTTAAGTATAGGCTTCAACTGTAACTTTGAACAAGTTACAACTAGCTTAGTAAAGTCCAACTTACTGTCCAAGAATTAATAATATGAACAAAACAATTAATAAACAAAATAATAATTAACAAAGACATGTCGCCATAATTTGGCTCCAAAAACCATTACTGAGTGATAAGTTATAAGTAATAATTTAATAATTTATATTTTTATTAGTAATAAAGCCGGTGGTAAAAATAGTTTAATAGCCAATAGGGGATTCAATTGATAAGTGATAAGTGATAACTGATAAGTGATTACAAAAATATAATAAAATTAATACCAATATACAAATATCATATAAATATATAATTATTAATTTATAATTTATAACCATTGACCATTAACAGTATTTAGGTAGGGTTTTTAATTCGTATACCTTGGTTGATAAATGATACCTAACTGATAAGTTATTCATAATCAATGTTTTCTGTATTTTATCAATATATTATTTCTAATCATCTATAAACACGTTTAAAAGAAAAAAAAATATTTTTCATAATTTCATTGAAATATTTCAAGAAGAGTGAAATTTTCAATTTTGAAATATTTCAATTGAAATTTTTCAAGTGAAATATTTCAAATTTACAACCCTATATATACCAGTTTTCGACGAGAAGTCGTAAGCCTTCAACATGCCACTACAGGGCGCGTTTACGCCCGTGATCCGTTGGAAAAGATTTCGTAAAACCAATAATAATATTGTCATCTTGACAAAGTCGATCTATACTGCGTACTCTTATAGGTACATAATATTTATCATTAGTATATAGTATAGTATAGTATATATATATATATAGTACATCCTATTAGTCTAGTGGTCGAATTGAAAACAATTAAAGAAGATTAGGTTTAGACATCAAATAAAATTAGCTTCTCCTGCAATGATTATCAATTCGACTGGACTTGAGGGTAGAGGTGGGTCGGTCGTGACTGACCGAATCAAAATGAACGAATCATTCAAGTGACCGTATCGCGACCGAATGATGTACCAAAAAGTATTCGGTCTTTCGGTCAAATCGGTGTTTCGGTTAAATCGATCTTCGGTCAAACGACTCGTTTGACGGTTTTTAATGAAATTATTCTTTCAGACTGAATCGGATCGGACCGAGTCGAATAGAATTTATTATTTTATTATTTAACACACTGTTAACTGTTAAGGACGTTGGTCACACTAACGAGTTACAACATATTTTACAATTTATTGCAGACTGATATCTTAAATCGTGATATATTATACTGATATTATCACGTATATATTATTTTATTGATCACTATACTATAGTTACTAGTTACTAATTTAGGTTACGTTATTACTTATTATATTTTATTTTTTATGTAATGCTGTTAGATGTTAATTAATTGTTAATATTGTTACTTGTTAGTTACACTTATAACCACAGAGGGAAGAGGTAAGGTTGCAGACCAACCAAATGACACAAAATATACAAATACGAAATCACAAATTTTCAATAAAAAAATTTTAACAACCTGTTAATAAAATAAAATTTTTCTTTTTACATGTTGTACTCATTAATTTATAACAACTGTAAATAAAAATATAAATAAAAAAATAACTTTAATCTAAATTATGATTTAGAAACAACAACTTCTCAACTTTGTCAGTCGTTAGTCTTGACCGTATCTCCGTCAACACCATGCCAGCCTTGGAGAAAATGCGCTCGCATGGAACTGATGTGGCCACAACGCATAACATACGACAAACTAATTGGTAGAGTTTTGGATAAATTAATTTGCGTTCATTCCACCAAACTAATGGATCTTCCGTTCTTTTTAATAAAGGTTCAGCAATGTATCGATCCAGTTCTAATATACCAGCTACTGTCACATTTGAACCACCACTTACTGCAGTAACTCTGGTATCAAAATCCTTCCAAATAGTCTCCGGTCCAGAAAGTGGACCAATACCTACTGTTGTTCCTGGTTCTTGAGCGTCTTGTCCGATAGGTAAATTTTGCACCATCCTTGACAACGATTGATATGCCGATTGGTACTTGTCATTATTTGGAAACCCTTGTTTTTTGAAGCGTGGATCTAATAATATAGATTGCATCACAACTTCATTAGTTTCGAGCTGGTCAAATCTTGAATGCAATTTCAGTTGGCATTGTACGGTTATTAGTGTACCCTGATACATAGTTCACCATTGCCCTTGAAAATATCGTAACTTTTGATATAGATACATAATTCTCTGAACTTATTTCATTAGTTACATCATAGAAAATTTTTAATAATTGACAAAGCACTTTCAAGACATTCCACTCATCAAATGTGATTGTGTTAAGATCATTATTAATAATGGCTAATGTAAATAAAACTGGCTCTTTTATTTTCAAAATTCTATCAACCATATCAAATGTGGAATTCCACCGGGTAGGACAACGCTTTAGCTTCAAAACAGAATAACCACCTTGTTTTTGAATATCATTTAGACGAGACAATGCGTTAGTACTGCGTTTGAAATATTTCACAATGGCCTTTACTTTACCTAATATTGGTCTCACTTTCTCTAGCGCAGATTGTACTATTAAATTGATGCTATGAGCAAAACATGGAAAATGCCTCCACTGGCATAATCGAACAGCTGCCACCATATTATCACTAACAATCATAGTTATTTTATTAACTAATCCCCATTTATTCACCTGCTCTATAAGGAGAGAAGACATTTCAACAGCTGTGTGTCTGGCTGTGAAATGTTGACAACCAATCAGGATTGATGACATCTTCGTATCATCATCGATTTAATGGGCAGTAATAGCTACGTAAGATTCATTATTAATTGAAGTCCAAGCGTCAGTTGTCAAGCAAACTGCTGTTACATTTTTTAATTTGTTTTTAATAGTATCAACTGTACTTTCATATAACTGAGGCAAAAGGCTATTGGATACAGTTTTTCTACTGGGAAGAACATAACCAGGTGCCAACATCTGTATTAAATTTTTGAATTCTTTTTCTTCAACGAGACTAAAAGGATGGTAATGTTTAATGATTAATTTTTTATCAATTTTTTATTTTTCTATTTGAGAATCTATTTTTTTTTATTTTGAAATGGATACTGGTTTTTGTACATAGGAAGTTATGGAGCTCTGAACGGGTCTAATGTTGGTTTGTGTTATTGATGTCAAAATTTGAGTGGAAGTATTTGATGCTGGCATTCCCGAAGGAGATGGTTCATCTATATTATGTTCCTCAATATGCTCATGCTCAGTCATGGTATTTGAAGAATGATGGCGTGCAGTTCGATCAAGTGGTACTGTTATGTGCTTAGTTTTCATGTGTCTCAATAAATTGCCACTTGAACCACCACCATAACTAATTTTGTTCGGGCAATAACTACATTTAGCATACTTTTGATCTACTATTGTAAAATGGTTCCAGATGGAGCTTCTTTTTTTTGAAAGCATAATTAAGTTGTTTTACCTTGTTAATAAACATAACAATATTTAGTTATTTTAACTACAAAACTGTGTAGGTAGGTATCTAGTGTTACATATTAATATTAATTTAATTTAAAATTTAAAAATTGTAAACAAAATTACCCTTTAAATTAATTTATTCATTTTCCAAATACAATAAAAAGAGAAAAAAATATACATAACTTTAAAATAATATGATAAAATTATATTTTACCTCTGATGTATTGTTGGACGCCATTGAACTGCCCACTCATCGATGCCGCGCCATCATAACCTTGTCCTACAAGAAATTTTTTTTCGAGTCCGAATTTCTCTAGCAACTGAAGTATAGAAGTAGATAATCCTTTAACAGTCATATCATGAACAATTTAAAATTCAAGAAAATCTTCCATAATACAGTTTGACACACCGTCAACGTATCGTACACAAAATACATTTGTTCTAACCGAGATACGTCTTGTGTTTCGTCTACTAAAATAGAAAAATATTTTGTATTTCTGATATTTTTTAATATATTTTCTTGTATTAAATTGCCACAAATAGTAATGATTTCATTTTGAACATTAGGCCTCGTGTAAGATGCAAAAGAAGTTGCGTTTTTAAATGTTTGTCTAAAATAGGATCAGTCAATGATTTAAATCATAATAAAGATCTAAAATTCCCGTCATTTGTTTCTATACTTTCATCATATATTTTTCCACTGTCATTATTACCTCTTAAAGCAATATTTTGTTTTCCACATAAAATTAAGGTTTCAATTATTGGACGAAGAATAGATTGATTTTCAATGACTTGTGTTAAGGTCCAAAGGGCTTATTAGGCTGGCTTTGGTAAGCGGTTTAGTGGACTGTATTTGTTGAAATGAATTTTACGCTGGTTGTTGTTGTTATATAAACTAGATAACATTTATTTTACTTTCTTTTCTTTAAATACATAATACAAATTTTGCCCGATGGCACAAATATAAATAGTTTCAATACATGATGTTTCTGGCTTGACAGCACAGATAACATTTAACAATATAACGATTTTAAAAGATAATGTGTCTGGCCTGGTGGCACAGATAATAATTTAAACAAAGAGTGATTCTGGCCTGACGGCACAGATAATAATTAACTCAACGAGTGATTCTGGCCTGACGGCACAGATAATAATTAAATAAAACAGTGAAACTCTGGCTTGATAGCACAGGTAATAACTTACAATATAAACAATGGGAATATTATGTCTGGCCTGGTGGCACAGATAATATTTGACAATATAACAGTGCAACTCTGGCTTGATAGCACAGGTAATAACTTACAATATAAACAATGGGAATATTATGTCTGGCCTGGTGGCACAGATAATATTTGGCAATATAACAGTGAAACTCTGGCTTGATAGCACAGGTAATAATTTACAATATAAACAATTTACAGTAAAAACAAATGTTTTGTGGTGCACCACCTACCTATTGAGAGGTTATGGGGTGCGTGGTGCCGGTTTATGCCCAGTTCGCCGACACCCGGTTTTTTGATCAAAAAACCAGTTTTTAATGGTTTTTAAAAAAAGCCCAATTCGCCGACAAATGATATTGACGACATGCTTTGTTGCATTGCAATAAAACTATAATAGCTACTATCATAATCTGTAAATTTATTTTATCGTACACGATGAGTAGGTATAAGAACAGGTACCTATCGACTATGATATCGGCAAAGTTATGATATCTGTAAACATATTTAATGATAAGTATAAGATATAGTATTATAGGTACCTACTTAAAGTTTAAAATTTCGTAAGCTCGAGGAACAGTTGAAAAATGTTAAAGAAAGGTACGCAAAATATTTATTTTATGCAACATACTATTATGACTACTTAAAATAATGTGCAGAAAAATGGATACCATATTTATATCTATCTATATTTTAAATACATAATTATATTTTACTATTTCAGGTTAAGAGAAAACGAAATTACTCTAATATTGACACCATAAAATATCATATTCGCATTTAACAATTTTTATTTTTATTTATACTTTTTATTATAATATGATGACTATGTAATATATTTACTATTTTATATTTTTGTTTTACATGTTATTTATATATTTTTATAACTGAACTGTACTTTTTCAAATTGGGTGTTGTCAAATTGAGTGTCGGCGAACTGGGTGTCGGCGAACTGGATGTCGGCGAATTGGGTGTCGGCGAACTGAGAATACACCGTGGTGCCGGGATCTGTAGGTAACTATTTAAAGACAATAAAAAATAATAAATGTGATCCCGCACACACACAGTACCACCGCTAACCTACTCACAGAAGTCACCTCTCATAGACAACGCTGACTCTGCTACCAGTAATGGCAACGCTGAGCGTTGACCCAACCATCACCGTGCAGCAAAGCAGGTAAAACAGACGAACAGTCAAAGTATACTTCGTGTCATCCTAGACTAGGAAAGAATAATGATAAATCTGACATTGACAATACTACGGAACGATATTTACTTTCGAATACTGCATGCGGTGCCAAACACAGAGCGTGCTGAAAGTGTTCTCTTTGAAGATGAACACAAAAAACAAAACGAAAATGACAGATGCCGGACAACGTGTGTGCTCATGACCGTCTTGCTCGAGCACCAAGGAAAAAGAGAGCGAAGAGACGTAAAACTGCTGCCTCATGTCCGTTGATTATATAAATGTACAAAGTTAGGAACGGAATGTGATGATGACTAGATACGACTACTGATAAGCTGCTATCTCATTCTTGCCAGCGACTTTTGGTCGCAAACAGACCTATATACAATTTATTGCTTTACAAATTTATTGCTGGCTGGGGAATCAAATATACATTTGATTAAGCCATAACATTCTCCCCCTCCTGAAGGGATGGAGGAACTTCATCGTTGGCAGCATATGGAAGTGGACACAATTTGACGATGGGTCTCTGGAACATTCTGCCGCCCGGCATCTGAATGGTCACAACTCTTACAATGCTATCTAAACCAGGGTGCAGCCTCATTACTCTGCCAAGATGCCATTTGAGTGGTGGTTGATTGTCCTCAATGACTAGCACCAGATCGCCAATCTTTATTGAGAGTTTGTCAGCCGTGGTCCAACGCGTCCGTGGTTTGAGAGATCTGAGATATTCGGACGACCACCGTCGCCAAAACCCTTGAGTCATGCCTTGGACTAGTTGCCATCGTTTCAAGTAATAGACAGGTTGTTCTGGATGCTGAGGTTCAGGAGGTAGAGTCAGACAACCGCCTACTAAAAAGTGAGCAGGTGTCAGTACTGTTACATGCGGCCCTTCAGGGATCCAAAAGCTGGTGTACTTTGATAAATAATAATAGTCAATTAGTATGATAATCAAATGTATTATATTAAACCAGACAAAACAAGCAGAATAATAGTGTTGATTGTAGCGAATTGTGGCTCGTTCCGAAGTTGATAATCTCCGTGTAAGTTGTGTGTGATGGCTGGGCGGCTAAGCGAGTCGTGTGTTGTTCTCGTCTCTGGATACATCTAATTTGTATTGAGGCCCTAGCCTCTATATATACGAATATACGAAGGCGACGCCCTTTGAATTGAGCGGCGCGTGGCATGTAGGCGCCCTTGGGAAGTTGTTGTGATCCGAAGCGTCTATTCTAGCTATGACCACTTTTGGGTGTGGTCGACGAGGCCGCTTTCTACATAAGTAGTACTTGTTATTGTGAGCGTTGTACATGAATTGCGTAATCCCATTACAGTACATTAAAACTTTCTGGGTCACTAGACTGTGATGTCAGTGGTCTACTGTTTAGGCATGCTTCAATTTGACATAGCATGGTGGCTAGTTCTTCAAAGTTAAGTTTGGCTGACCCTGTGATGCGTAGAAGATGGTGTTTGGTAGACTTTACTGCCGCCTCCCATAGTCCGCCCATATGTGGTGCACTGGGTGGATTAAAATGCCACTCAGTACCATCTGTTGCTAGGGACTCAATTATGGTTTTGTTGTTCTGACAGTGCTCCGTGTAATAGCGTCTCAACTCTGCCCTGGCGCCGTGGAAATTGGTTCCGTTGTCAGAGTGAATATGAGCACTTTGACCTCGTCGCGCGAAGAATCTACGTAATGCAGCCAAAAAAGCTTGTGCTGAGAGATTACTCACTGCCTCGAGGTGAATCGCACGCGTGCTGAAGCACACAAATACTGCAATGTAAACCTTGGTTACTGTTCGATTTCTTGGACCAGAATATATTTGTATTGGGCCAGCAAAGACAGATGCCAGACAACGTGTGTGCTTATGACCGTCTTGCTCGAGCACCAAGGAAAAAGAGAGCGAAGAGACGTAAAACTGCTGCCTCATGTCCGTTGATTATATAAATGTACAAAGTTAGGAACGAAATGTGATGATGACTAGATACGACTACTGATAAGCTGCTATCTCATTCTTGCCAGCGACTTTTGGTCGCAAACAGACCTATATACAATTTATTGCTTTACAAATTTATTGCTGGCTGGGGAATCAAATATAAATTTGATTAAGTCATAACAACTTGTTTTTTTCGTGAAATATCTATATTATTTGCAATATTTTTTTTTTGGTTTCCATTACTTTAATAAATTCTTCAGAGCGAATGATTGAAAGCTTATGATACTCAGAGTTTGAATGACGATTAAAACGTTCAATGGCATCCTTCCATTTTGTAAAAGGTTTTATAATCAAAGCACCTAATTTTTTATGGATCCCTTTACCAACACTGTTATTGGCAAATAGTACACAGCATTTACACAGGGCACCTTGTACTTTTTCGGAGTAAACAAGCCAAGGAAAACGGATTAACCAATCGAATTGAAATTTCAGCCGCCTTTGTTGTTCGATGGGAAATTGGTAATTTTTGGGCGGTGTCCATGGATTTTTTAATAAATCGTATTTTTTTGCATCATTTATATTATTAGATAAAAATAATTCAATATCCAGAGAATAATTTTTTAACGATTCATTGTCTATATTTGTATCAAGTTGGGTCTGCAAAGCGTTTGGTACATCAACTTCGGTTGCAATATTTTCAATACTACTCGATTCACTTTCAGTTTCTTCATTATTTTTAATTTTTTTTACACCAAAATTGAATAAAGATGGTTGATCACTATTTCTTTTCATTGTAAAAAAATAATAATAAAATATATGATATTTAATAAATTTGGTTAATCAGTTGTCATAAGTTAGAACTCGCAAAAATAACCAAAACTCTATCGCACTCGTTACCGTTCTAATACCGAAACCGAACAAAGACTAAAACTAAACGATCGTCATCGTTTAATGATTTTATTATTGTAGACTGTAGTTTAGCAATTCAATAGAAATTTTTGTTTCGATCGAGTAGGTACGGAAATAAGATAAGATAAGATTATCCTAAAAGTATGAGTTTTCTAGGTATATCGCAAATCGCAACTATACAGTTCTGTGTTCGAGCGTAGTTCTCAATAATCACCTCGATCATTCAACTATAATACTATAATATAGGTATAAACGTGTATTTCATACCCGACTAATAAACAGAGAAAATCAGTCACAAACAGCTAATTATAAAAATATTCTATAATAATAGGAATATAATAAATTTGACTTCATTTTGAAAGAAATTATTTCGGGGGGGGGGGGGGGGGTTGAACCCCAAACCCCCCCCCCTGTATACGTGCCTGGTAATATACTAATATAGGTACTCTTTGTACAGATTTGTTTAGTTTGTATTGTTTTAAATCATGTATTATGAGTATAATATTATAATATATTTTATATTTACATTTTTTTAAGTTAATAAACAATTAATTTTTTTAAAGACTCACTATTTAATGCAACCTTATCAATTACAATATCTGTACTAATAGAAGTTAAAATTTTTTTTTCTACACTCATGAGTATAAAACTTTCTAAATGATCTTGAGTAATTCAGTTTCTCAAGTAATTTTTAGTACATTTTAATTTGGAAAAACTCAGTTCATAACCCACTTGTGTGAATGAAAATGATAAAAGTAGTTTACAACATATAAATACAGAACCGGATAAGCATTAGTGTATAAATTATAGTTAACTAAAATACTAAAACCATAAACAACAACACTTTACAGGTTTGCTAGTATTATCTGCTTGATGAGTGCATGTTTCTTCTAACATATTTTCCGGAATAATAACAATAATAACAAAAACTAAATTAATATTAAACATATATCACTGAAAACAAATTTTGTAGCAGGTATATTGTATGTAGTTACAAATTGTGTTAAAATATTAACTAATCATTGTTTAAAGACAATATTTTGGAATAAAGAATGCATACCAGGACTATTATCTGATTCATCTGCACTTTCTTCCAAATTTTTTTTCTGAGAATTATATACATTTGTACAATTTATCTTGAGTTTATCCCACTTTGAAATAAAATCTATGTTATTTATGTATGTATTTAACAAACAGTCTTTAGTATAAAAATTATTTGGGTCAAGACAATTAAAATCAGCAAATAATTCCTTATGTTTTTCAAATTGTAACTCAATACTTTGGATAACCGAGTCAAATATTACATTGCATACATTAACTTCAAATAACTTCAATGAATTCATAATTATATCATCTGTAGATTAGTACCTATGTAAATTTTTTAGTCTATTTTCTTTGTTGGTTAGGCGCTTAACTATCACTAATTTGAATAATTGTTTTTTCTATTTTGTCTAGTTTATTATAGTCCCATCTAACAAAATTATCAGCAGGCTGTTTGATACTGGTAAAATCATGATTAATGTTTTTTAAACTATTGAGTTTGATTAACCATCTGAAAAGCAGCTACAAAATTAACACCAAATCCCTGAAGATACTTAGAAAGAGGAGTGGTTATATTAAAAATCCTAAAATATATCTGAGCAGTTAGAATTGTTTCATATTTGCAGAGTCCTTTAATAAAACCAATGGCTTTTAAGGGCGCTTCAAGTTTAATTTTTGAATCACAGATTTCATCTAATGAAGTGACTAGTTCAACAAATAAGCTGTTATCAAAACAATTAAAATACAAAAAAACTATGGTTTAATCTGAATCCTTAGACCACCATTTTGTTTCTCTAATAGAACAAATTCTTTGTTTTGTGTTTTTGTTAATCCACACATCCATACGGGTGTGATTCTTTTAAAAAAACTTAACACCCATTTAACAATCCAAATAAGCTGTAGAACCTTGTAGAGTTGTATTAGTTATATCACATATAACAAGATTCAACACATGGGCATAACACCATATATGTTTCTGTGTTAATGTAACTTCACTCAGTTCTTTTGAAAATCCATTGTAGACACCCTGCATATTGGCAGCTCCATCCGTAGAATTTCCAATGCAATTTTTGTATCAATACCCAATTTTGTAAAATTATTTAGAAGTAAATTAACAAAATCAATGCCTTTACTTGACGTACATAATGAGTAATGACCATTGCAATTAATCTTACATACATTTTGGTATCAATAACATATCTAACAATAATTGAACATTGGTCAACGACTGTTAGGTCCTGTGTTGTGTCTAGTTGAACTGAATACATTCCAGTTTTTTTTACTTCTTCGCTAATTAAGGATTTGATTATCTGGCTTCAACAATGTAATTTACTGAAGTTTTAGACAAAAAAGTTATTAGTCCACCAAATTGTTTTTTACCAGAATTGTGAATAGTTGTACTTTTTTTAAGATCCAAACTACTGTCACTTAATGTATAAGCAGCTTCAAATTTCTGTCCACTGTAACTAAGGCCACACTATTAGTTTTACAATTTCAATTAGGCGAGTTACCACAAGCAAATTATTTGGTTTTTTCCAACTTAATTCAGACCATATTTTATAAGAGAATCAACGGAAGCACAATTTTTTCTTATTATTGTCATTGATTAATACCGATTCGAGTACCACTGCGACAGATTTATCAACTGTGTTTTTGGAAAGTTCTTCATCTATACCTAATACATTAATATAAGTATAGTAGTAAATAAAAAACAAAAACAAATGTTCAAAATAAAAATAATAAACTCACTACTTGTGCATCAATAGAACAAAACCAAAATAATATATATAAATTATCAATTTTTTATAAATCTACTAACCTATTTTTACTATTTATGTGTACATTTATTACATACAAATAGAAAATTAACATTTTTTTTGTAATTTATTCTTAAAGATAAATTTGAGCTGAATATGATGGTGTAATTATAATTTAAATATAATTTTTATTTTTTGAAGGTAATAAAGTCGAGTATGTCTCTACGTAGTATGGGTTAATTATACACCGAGCTAGTCTCGGATTTGACCGCCACGCAGACTGGTGGAGAAATTAGTTTGCGATGTTTTATGGAAAAAAATTTTGTGCAAGCGGCCAGCAGAGTTTGGACTCCTTATCTCTAGTCTGCATGGTCCAGCTATCAAGGCTTGGAGGTTAACTATTTTTTACTATCTAAGAGGTTAACCTGTGACCAACTTGTGCTTACAGAAGTCACGTGACATAACTATACTACACGTACATCTTTACAGAGTACTAAATAGTGGTCGATTACGATCATAGATATATAAATATATATTATATATCTATGAGTACGATATATGGAAATTCGTTTTACCGGGATGGGCCACACTGTTTGATCCCTGTTCATATCACGGTTTAAGATAGAATGGTTAAGCGACGATCCATACAATCCCACGGTACTTTACGGCGGAAAAGTTTCTTATCAAATAAATGTTTTTACTCACTGGATACTAGCGCTTCCGGTGCCAACATTGGTTGGCTTTTGGTTTATAGTGTATTATATATAGTAAGATATTAACAATTACAAATTATAAAATTATGTTTTATACAAACCATATTTATATTTTGATTTACCTATTATCAGTCCTGTAAAGTATTTGAGTAAAAGTATTTGAGTAAAAGTATTCAAATACTTTTTTAAGTATTGAATAACTTTTTAAATACTTTCAGCATGAAGTATTTTGAATGGTATTTTAAATACTTTTTTTTGTATTAAATACTTTTTGGTATTGAATACTTTGGTTTTTATTTCGAACATTTTATTTTTATTCGAAATAATTTTAGAAATTTTAGAATAAATTAAGAACACAAAATAGGTAGTATCACCAATGGGTGGTTTCTTCCCTCAAAATATCAATCATACGCAAATACCCTATGCACATTTGCGTATTGTTCTAGTTAAGAACAGATTGTAAATTTCATGTAAAAATAAAAAGGACTGCCTATTATTCCTTTTGGTAATCTGTTTTGGTTTAGAATAGAAAAATTGAAATTAAAAAATCGGTTTATTTAACAACTTGTTTTTATTTTTATTTGTAAAATTAGTTAACACTTCATACAGGTGGTATTAGATTGGAAAGCTATTAAATGCCAAAATAAAAATAAATTTGACATTTGTTAAAAAAAAATACACTGTAAAGTTCTTCTACGTTTTCAACACGGTTTAAGATAGATGATCTTAAACCGTGGTTTTCAATCATAAAGGATTATGAAGTAGGTATTATAATAATAATTAATAATTAATAATAATTATAATTTATAATATAGTATTATATTATACATTTATACCTAGTATAGTATTATTATTATTTAATAAATAAAGAATATCAAGATTATCGTGGTAATTTAGTAGATCGCGCCACGGGGCAGTGAGTTTTTCATATTTTTGATAAGAAACTCTTCCGCCGAAATAACAGGCCTCGTCGCTTAACCATTCTATCTTAAACCGTGGTTCATATTGAAACGGGAGGGAATAGTGACGGCGATTACAATGCTCCCACCAGGGTAAACACCGCCCCCCGCGTAATCACCAACACCTTTGTTGTTCTATGATCACACGCACAACCGCGGTACTTCACCACCGTCTACTACCATATACCATCAACAGCTGCCGTCGGTTTTGCGTCGTTCGCTATTTGTCCGCAACTGCCACCGTCGCGCCGTTCGTCGTTCAGTCGGTAACCTGTTGCTAGGGATGGCAATTTTTTTTTGAACATCGATGTTTCGATGTATCGATGTATATTTTACTAAACATCGATGGTGACAATATCGACAATTTAAAAAAACATCGAAGTCAAGAACTCGATGTATTTGGAAAAACATCGATATTTAAAAAAAAAAAAAAAACATACTTTTTATAGGATAAAATTAATTATTATATATTATAATAATTGTATTAATTATACACATTTAAAATTTAAATATACATAAGCAACTCTTTATTTTATTTATTGGAAAAATTAAAAAAAAACACATAAAAAATTAAATTTAAATTATATAGAAAAGTAGGTAGGTACCTATTAATTATTATACATTTATGGCCAAAATTGATCGTCCAGATTGTTTAAAAAAATTAATTTCGATGCCGATTTCCCACATAATCTGTTTCTTGTTTTTGATATGGTGTTACTAGCACAAGAAAAAAGCCTTTCACTTGGGACAGACGTACAGACACCAGATAAATATTTTAAGGCTAAATTATATATAAATGGATACAGGGGTTTTAATTCTTCCCAAGAAATCAATGGATCAGTTTTTAATGATGATACAGGTGTAGATAAATACATGGTTAATTCAGGTCCTAAATGTTTTTGATTTCCTATATTAGTTTTATCAACATACTTTTTTAAAGATTTTTGGGCCAATTGTTTATGATGTCCCCATAAGTCTATAGTACCAGATTCTGAAGTTGAGGCAGAGTCAGTTGAATGGTAATCTTCTTCTGCTGGTAAACTTACCATACCATTTATTGAACTATTTATAAACCTTAGATGTTTTGAAAGTGCAACAGAATCTTTAAAATGTATGTTTTTGAATCTAGGATCAAGTATAGTTGAAACAGACAATAAATAATTTAGCTCAATTAATTCAAACCGTTTTTTCATCTCGACAGTTAGAGCAGTTTTTAACTCTACTCCAATTCTGGAAGTTGGTAACACGGTATTCAATTTATCGTTGATGCAACTTATAATTGGAATAACTAAACTCATTGTTGCATATTTTTGTCCCGAAATTTCTGATGTTACTTTTTCGAGAATTTCTAAAATATTTACGATTTGTTTGATATTTTCAATATCTTGGCCATTCAACATGGGAGGTGCATTCACATGTTTTAATACAATTTGATTAATTACTTCTTTTAGTTCTAAAAATCGTTTACACATGTAATAAACCGAGTTCCATCTTGTAACAATATCTAAAATAAGCTTTTTTATATTGTTTCCATCTTTTTCTTGAAATTGTCTTAATTCATCAGAACAGTTTACACTTCTTTTTATAAACTTTACAATGTTTCTTACTTTACTAATTAAATCTATTAAACCATCAACTTTTTTTATTGATCCTTCGGCGACCAAGTTGATCGAGTGAGCAAAGCATCGTAAATGTCTATTTTCCCCAAAATTTTCTTTGATTGCTTTCAGCATTGTTGAATCATTATCCGTCACTACAGCCAAAATTTTAGATTTGGGTATATTCCATAAATGCATTACATTTAAAAGCTCATCAGAAATATAACTAGCTGAATGAGATTTTGACAATTCAAAAATACCTAATGCCGCAGAACACAATTTTGACAAATAAATAAAATGTATTGTAACTCCAAGATAGCTTTTAGTTGTCATCATTTCTGACCAAATATCTGTAGTTACAGTTATGTTTTCTATTTCTTTTAAGATACATCTAAAGTTTGATGATACGACATCATATTTTTGAAGGATTCGAGCTTTTACAGTGTTTCGAGTAGGAACCTTATATAACGGTGCAACTTCTTTCATTAGTTTCACAAAGCCTATATCCTCAACGACTGAAAACGGTTGATTATCTTTGCAGATAAAATATATAATCGCTTCAGTTATTTTAATGTGTTTCTGTCCACCACCTGTTAAAATATAAATTATTTATGTTTATATAAATGCATAATTTAGTAGCTTATGAAATTAACTAAGGAATTACAATCATTGCAAAGAACTGTCTACTAATTCTAAAAACTATTTTTGGTCTATTAATTAATTTATTAATTTTTTTTTATATAATTAATATATCATGTTGCAGTACTAAATATCATAGACATATAAATAAATGGAAATGGAAATAATTGAATACTCAAATTATTCCATGATATTATTTATGACATTATCAAATATCAATGACGGTTATCACTAATTATCAGTTTTAAAATCTATAAATTACAATAATTTCATGGCATGAATGAAATATAATTATAATTTCTTTCATGATTGCCCCCAACAGTTTCTATCTCACTCACACAATGTACATTTCAGATTACTAAAAATAAATACTAACTTGAAAAACTGGATATTTTATTAAGTGACCATTCCAGAGTAGGCTGATTGGAGAAATGTCCAGTAACACTTGAGGAGGTACTTAAACTCGAAGACAGTGTGTTAGTTGATAGAGATGCGTCAAAAGGTAATACATTAGAACTATCATTATTTTCGGTTTCAGTTGAGGTTCCAGGAGTACAATGTGAACTCATGGCCTGTTAAAATAGTTATGGTTAATATATTTATATATAATCTATAACATAATTCAATATAAAAATTTTAAAATTAAAAAAAAAATCAATATAAATTTAAATTTAAATAGAAAAGTTTTATAACTTGACTAAAATATATCATAATGTATAAATAAGAACAATTATATTTTTTATTTTTTATCTCTTTTAAATCTTATAGTTAATACACTTGATATCTTATTGAATAAAGATAAAAAGGTGAATTTTATTTTGTAAAAATTATCGTTTAAAACGTACTTACTTTTTCTTTTTTATTTAGAGATTTCAAATTTGTATCATGTGGTAGTTTATGCATCTTATTTAAATGTCCCATCAAATTTGAAGTGTTGCCAGAAGTTCGTAGTATTTTACCACAGACTTTACACATTGCACAGCCATTAGTTTTTTTTTCAAAATATTTCCAAACTTCCGATTTAGTTTTAGACATTATATTATATATTAATTAATTATTAATCAGTTCAATTACAATAATTAAAAACACACTCTCGCGGTAAATTGTACTGTATTATTGTTTATTGAAATTTGAAGTCATTAAGAAATAAGAGCACAGTCACAGAGCACGGACGTACGGTTCGTGTGTTAATGATTATGAATTATGAGTACAAATGAGTAAAGCATGTATAAAATAATATAAAAATATATTATATTAGACGATATTACCGGTATTCACCGGTCAGTGGGAATTTTTAGTGTCATTTTAGTTTGTTCCTATAATTAGGTATTATAGAAATTTTCATCAATCAATCAGATTTCTCTTGGGATAAGTAATATTATTATGAATTATGATCAAAGTCCAGTCATTCTGACTTGCTACAAATTCGCTAGATTAAACCGGTGTGAAAAATAATGCACCGGGATGTGTTTACATGTTTCATATCACACGGATAATTTTAAACCGGTCTAGCGAATTTCTAGATGTTTTCCTAATCATGTTTATATTCAATCATAAATTATACCTAAAATATTATGTTAGGAACTGAACAATTTTAAAAATATTTATTTTATGAAATATCGAAGAATATCGAAGACAAGGCAAACATCGAAATTAAAACATCGGTAAACATAAACCTCGATGCAAAACATCGAAACTTAACCATCGATGTCAAACATCGATTATTATAGTTTAAAACATCGATGTTTCCAAAACATCGATGTATCGTTGCCATCCCTACCTGTTGCTCATCGACGTCTGTTCGTCGTTACTTAGTCCGTGTGTGTGCGTGTGTTGCGTTCCGGACGTTCGCACCTTTAATATATTTTATTATAATAATAGCGTTACGTTTGCAACACTCCAAGTTGATACTATTTTATATTTTTTACGAAAACACTTTTGGCTTGTCGTAACGTTCGGTTTTAAATTTTATACACGCGAGGTGCACGTTATTGTGAACTATTAACAACATGAATGACGCTTTTGGACATTTAAAGTCGCTGCTGAAAATCGACGAGATATGCATCGATAACTTAGTGTTTAAATTGCACTACAAAGTGACTTTTCTCATCCTTCTTGGTTTCTCGGCTTTTTTAACATGCAGGCTGTACTTGGGAAATCCGATTGATTGCATTGTTGATTACCAAAGTGTTTCAACCAACGTCATGGAAACATACTGTTGGGTACAATCGACGTTCAATTTACCTAATCGTATCAATGGAAAGGCAAGCAGGAATGCAGCACATCCGGGTGTCTCGAATTTCGAAGAGGGTGTTGATGGTGTCAAGTACCAAAATTATTACCAATGGGTATGTTTTGTGTTGTTCTTCCAGGCCATATTTTTCTACATACCCAGGTACATCTGGAAAATATGGGAGGATAGACACATGAGGGAACTGGTACAAGATCTCAACAAACCACTTTCCTTCGAATCCACACACAAGCAAACATTGGTCAACTACTTTGTCCAGTACCTACACAAGCAGAATGTCTATGCTATCCAGTTTTTCTTCTGCGAGATCTTTAACCTTTGCAACGTCTTTCTTCAGATTTATTTTATGGACCGCTTTCTTGAAGGTGAGTTTAAAACCTATGGTTATGATGTGTTAAGAATGACCGAAATGAATCCTGAAGATCGCGTGGACGTAATGTCTCGAGTGTTTCCTAAAGTCACTAAGTGTACATTCCGAAAATACGGTCCAACTGGCACTATACAGAACATTGACGGTATGTGCGTATTGTCACAAAACATTGTGAACGAAAAAATTTATGTATTCTTATGGTTCTGGTTCTGGTTTATTGCCATAATCAGCGCATTAAACTTTGTGTATCGTATGCTTCTCATTATGGTGCCCTATTTCCGTTTATTATTATTGAGATCAAGAACTGACTGCTTTTCTTATAAGAAATTGAACACATTAACTCAAAAGTTTTGGTTTGGTGATTGGTTTGTCTTTTATCAATTGGCCAAAAACGTCAACCCCGTGGTTTTCAGGGAGATTGTATCAGAATTGTCCCAAAAGTTTGAGGGAAAAGATAATGTGTGATTGTACCAAATAATTCAATAAATCTAAAACCATTTATAATTCATCTACTAAATAAAACAAAATATATTTTTAATAACTGATATATACCTAGTTCATTTAACAAATGATCAATAATAAATAGAACTTTTATTTAAATATGATTGTACATCCATCAGGCTATGTGGATATAATTTATAGGAGGTTACAATATTTAAAACTAATTTCCAAGTATACTCAATAAAAGACAGGGTTTAAAAAAAAAAAAAATTGTTTTATAATAGCTACATTAACAATTTAAAGATGTCTACAAAATTATTATTGACAATATACTATTTATATTTCTAATATTTTTAACAACTATTTCTAAGCATTAATTTCAAGTAATTTTTCTTCTTTTGGTTTTTATTACCCATTTTTGTTGTTGTCAGATCTAGATGCCTAGATGAGAAAATACTATTCTTAATAAATAATACATAATTAATCCAAATTTTAAATGTTCCACAATATTGTATGAATAATAGTTATGGGGAACGCAGCAGACGTATTTTTCATGCGTTTTAGACCAATAAGCGGTAGTAAATTACACATACTTAGGAATGTCCGATTTTCATTTTTTATACATGTATGAACTCTTTGACAAAATATCTAAGTTATTTAGGAAGTCGATTTTCAATTTTCAATTTTAAAGGACCCTTAAATAACGATTTTTTTTTCAAAAATCTCATGAAATAATTACATTTGTATTTATTTTGGGCACGTCTAATTTTAAATCAAAAAAGTGATTCCTAAAGAGCATAGTCTAGAAGTTTATAAATTCAACCATATTTTCAAAATTACAATCGGACTTCAGGAAGTATGTTTAATTTACTACCGCTTTTAGTAGTTTTTATAGCATTGCAAACATGAATATATTTCATTTTTCGTAAAGTATTGACATGTGCCTGCGCGTGCGATAGTTTATTTCGGCGGCGCGGCTGCCGACGGGCCGTGATAGATTCTCGGAAAGTCAGAATCAATTAGCCGATAAGGATTATTGGATAGGTATAGCACATTACTAATGGGCGACAATAATTTATAATAGTCAGTAATAATAATTATATTTTTCCAAATTTAATACAACAAACATATATTTAAATTTTAAGGAAATACAAAGTATAAAAATACTACCTATGATTTATGAATCATTTGATTTCAACACAACACGCCGATCAGTAAGATTGTCTGTAAGTTTTGTGTTCTTTTTAATATTTTATTTTACAAAACGGGTTAAGATTGGCGTTATGGGAGAAAAGCTAGACGTAAGTTAAGCGCACCTAAAATAAAAAAACATCGATTGCAAAATTTACAGAATAAAAAAAGTGATATACATAATAATTTCTAAAATTGGTAAAATAATGTGGTAAATATTTTGGAAAAGAAATTTTTTTTTTTACTTTTTTCTTTGGTTACATGGTTTTAGAATTAATTGATTTAGTATATGAACGTGAGTTTCCTTTTCCTATCGGGGATGGTCTGTAATACTACTTTTTTAAATGGTTTTATTTGTATAAAAAAGTCAAGTAATGTAATAGTTAATAACTAGGGCTAGGAAAATGAAGTTCTAAAAACCTACAATAAAGGAACTAAAAAATTGCCAATAATGCTACAAAAAAAGCATTTAACCAGGAAAATGCAACTAAAAAAGACTTAAACATTTTTAAGTTTAGCTGAAAAATATTTTTAACAACTAAGTACAATTTATAAATATTGAAAAAAAAAAATTAAAAACTGTTTTATTATATTTTAGGTACCTGTTTATTACATAAATATTAAAAAAGACTACAAGATATTTTAAATTTCTTTGATATTTTGTAATATTTTGAAAACAATTTTTCCGATAAGGCGATAATATTTCACTACGAATTCACAAAATATATATAATTATACAATTAAAATAAATGTAAAAAAAAATAATTTAGATAAATATGTACGTAAATGTTAAAAAATATGCGTATAATTAACAAAACCCAATTAAAAAGCTAATAAACTGACAAAAAAGTACCAATAAAGCATTTATTTACGAATATCACAAGAAAAAGCAAAAAAAGCAAAAACAAAATTGCATATTTGAACCCTGGTGATGAATGTATCGAATTTTGTTTTTGATTAGCTATGTCCTGGAGTACTATGAAAGAAAATGCAAATGCTACAAAATCCTAGCCCTATTAATAACTATGAAATAACAAAGTGATTCTCTTGTAGTCTTGTGTAGTATAATGTAATTGTACATTTTTGCGAATTGCAGCGAAAGCCGAGTAGTGAGTAGGTAATATAATAGTAAAAAATAATGCTCGCAATTGAACATAATATATTGTCATTTTTATAGCATTTTAATTATACGTAGTTCTGGAAATTCGTAATACTGTCAACCGATAGTCCTAGGCAATTTACAATTTTTTATTTATTTTAGATTTTTTTTTTTTTTTTTTGACAAATGTTTTTATATTGTAGAATAATAATATCCTAGAACGATATTCATATGTAAAGGCAATAATTAAGATGTAATAATAAACAGTACCAACTGAGTACTGATATTAATAAATTATAATTTGTGGTTTGATTTTTAACCTTTTAAAATGTAAGTACATTAGAGCGGGGTGCCGCCACTGGGTGACTTCCCCCTCCTGTAAACCAAATCGTCATCACATTTACTTATTGTATCACATGTAAATACAGATTGTAAATATATTATGTTTGTTCAATAAAAAAAAAAAAAAAAAAAAAGTACATTAGTTGTACAATGAATAACTTTGTAACAAACAAATATAATTAATATGTATCAGTATCATTACTATCATTTGAATATATACTTTTGTAATTAAAATTTATAATTATAATTTTTGTATTTCTTATTATTATTATAACCTACTACCTACACCTTAACATATCCTGTTGCTAAATTGGAGTAGGTATTGAGACTTCTCTAATTTCTTTTTATATGATGAAGCACTTCACTATATATTTTAAAGTGTTAGTGAGAAATGTCGTTAGACAGTTTTTAACTATAATAGCTGTCCATTTTTCCACATGGAAATCTTGACGAGACATTTGTGAAACGTTCAAACGTGCACATACGTATTATACTATAATCTAAGTGTGTCATATTCATTAGATACATTTGTAGTATCAGGTTATTTAATTATTTATGTTGGTTTCTTCATGAAAATTATGACACAACTAAATATTGGTTTGTATCGATGGTTCATCAAAATAATGTATGACCTAGTTAAGTTATAACTATGGCTAAAAAATTGTAGGAGTTGCATATTTTTCTATAAAATGCTCTAGATTTATAGCTGACCAAGCTAGATAAATCCATTTTATACAATGACGAGTTTAAAAATGGTTAAACTTGGATAAGTGTAAGGTTATATCATACTTTAGAGTATTTTAACTTTTAATTTATAAATGTTCAATCTCGTTTTGGTATTGTGTGCTGCGATGAATGTATAATTGACAATGGTTTTAATATTGATAATAGTCAGAAGCCTTGACATTTAAATGGTAAGTTGTAAATATTTTAAAGTTGTTGACTTCATAATGACTTATGAGACTGGCAAAGAATTTTAAGCAAGAAGAAATCATCAAGACGCTTTATTGTGCTTTAGTGAGACCTATCCTTGGATATGGCTCAGAGGTATGGGATCCCTATACAGCAGGTAATTATCGCACCTTACGTTACGTATTCAACATGCATTTTTAATATTCTCTGGATCCTTACTGAATACAACTCGTTTACCTCATAATAATACTTCTGTAACTAGGAGTCTATGACTGGATTTTTTGGCAGAACATAGACATGTTTTAAGCTTACAATTTTTGAACTTAATTCTCTCACAATTAACTTAAAAGTTCTGCAGCTTAATACTCATTCCTAAGTTCCCATTTTCAGTCTTTAACACTATACTCTGTCTCAAAAGACAATAATCAGTGGCTTTCAATCAATGATTTTTGTCAGTGTTGCACTTCTCCCCCATATGACCCGGTGTTAGCATGACTATGTGGTTTTGAAAGTGACAATTTCAACATTCATAAATCCCAAAAAGTGATTGTTCTTTTTTGAGACAGAGTATTATACCTATATTATGCAATTTAATATGGACCCTTTATTTTCTGATACATTTTTTGTTATGTTATGATATTGTGTAAGGATATTTATTAACTGTTAATAGTTGGAAAATATATAATTCTCTGTCCAAAGAGATTTGCATTTGTATAACACTAAAAAAATAAATTTTTAAAATTATGATGTATAATATTTTAGATTTTTATGCAAAAATTACATAGGTATTTAATGTTTTCTAAAAAAACATTGATTTTTATTAATTAATAACTTACGTATTTTAATATACAACTTATCAAATATTGAAAATCAATTTTTATTAATACAGTTTAGTTACCATTTTTTAAAAATGTTAACATTTACAATATTTATATTTTTTCAACACTTGTATAAGTTATGAATTTAAGTAAGTTTATGTTGTATTGAACAATATCTAATTATAGTAAAGGTTAGTAGTTAGCACTAGAATTAATATACAAGTATACAACTGTCTCATATGTTTGAAAAATTATAGATTAACATAATATGGAATAAATATATGTCTGTATCTTATAGGTTCAGTACATTGAATTATTCAACAGTTAATAACAAAACTTACTACAAAAATAATTTATGAACTCCAGAATATTTTCATAAGCTATATGTAGATTAATTAGGAAACTAGGTAGCTATTACATTTTTCGATGTTTAAATTTATTAGAATGTTTGCATGATATCAATGTTGTTTTGGACCTGATAAATAGGTAACTAATAAAAATAAACTAAGTACACATCTTGTATATAAAACAGAATGATGAAAAATAAAAAAAACATTAATTGAATTAATTTTATGTACAATACACAAAAAACAATTGCAAAAATTATATAAGTTTACAGAGTACTGTCATATAACACAGTCTTAAATATAAATTTATGATTA